TTTTCGAGTTTGCCTGTGTGAAATGTGAGAAAACGTTCGTTTCGATGGCCCCAAAAACAACTCGTCCGCGTACCTGGAGCGACCAATATGTTTGTGGAGCGTGTAGACCTAAGCTTTGTCGGGCCAACCGGTAGTTCGACCGTCGGTTTCGACTATGTCCACCGTGGCAGCAGGGACGGTGACTTGTGCGAAAATTTAGTTTATGGTGATAGCGGACTTGTACAGCATCTACCACACTCTCTCCTCCTTTCCCACCTGGACCCGGTGTCAAGACAGATTCAAGAAGACCGGAGGCGTGGGAGGGCGCAGGTGGATGGCGCGGTCGATTCCGCACCCTGGCGTTCCACTCCGCACCCGCTGGTCCACACAACAAATAGACAGGTTTTTGATTCACAACAACAATGGGGGGGGGGGGGGGGGGGTGACAGGTCTTAGTATGCTTGACGTACGCCAGCAACTGGGTCCGCTACCGCACCCCGAAATGTTGGCATTTGTTATGGTGCACAACTCCGAGAACGCATGACGGAGTCCAATATGGTCCCCGTGTTGGTCCAGCGCATCTAACACGTGGCCCGTTTGGGGGGAACATCAGGCCAACCACTGCACTCATGTCCATCACCAGTTGTTTGGTTAGTCCGTTCTCGCAACGATGCTTCCTTATGTCAACTCTGGGACATACAGCAAAGCCGACTAGGGATGGCCGGCGGAAATATGGGACTGAAAGAGCGACTTCCATGAGAAGGCCTAAAACGTTGGTGTCACTCAAAAACTCTACCAAATTATTCGACAAGCCAGTGGTAAGCCTTCTGCACTGAATTTGTTAGCGATGTGGGTGGCGGCTTTATGGCCGAAATTTCGGCTAAAATCGAGCGCCGGCGTGAGCCCTTCGGGAACCTTATTAACTTAGGCGACCTACCCAACAGGCCTTAGCTCTCCTCAAAAGCGGAGTTTTATTCCTGTCTAGCCTAAATGGTGTCATGCTTATCCAATCTGAGCAAGAAATCATCGATGTTATGCGAAGGCTGCGCAAAAACAAGACGTCCGGAGAGGACGTTATTCCCGCTGAAATTTACAATTTTTTGCGGACATTCAGGCGTCCTGGCTTCATAATTTGAGTGAGCAAACGCAGAGAGATAAAGTCACTCCTGAAGACTGGGGCTCTGGCATCCTTGCGCCTGTATTCAAGAAGGGAAATAAAATGAAGTGAGATAGCTACCACGACAACAGCCTCGTGGACGTCGCTGCGAAGGTCTTCGTTGTTGTTCTTCTCAGGCTACTCCAGAGTGTGCGTGACAGTAAGATGAGGCCCAACCAAGCCGGGGATCGATGCGCATGCCAAATATTCACACTGAAGCGCATTCTGGAATTCTGCCTTGACTAACGCTGACCGACGGCCGCCTGCTTTGTCGACTCAGCCGCCGCGTTTGATTCCATCCGCTGTGAGTCCCCGCGGCGGATAATCGAACTAGTTGTGCTGGAAAAATTATCGCCATGATCAAGGCATACTAAGGGTCTACCACCGCGCGAATTCTATTCCAAAACAATCTGTCCAAACCGTTCAATATTTGATCTGGTGTTCGAGAAGATTGCACCTTGTTGCCCATTCTGCTCATCTATGCCATTGATTGTATTATCGGAAAAGCCCTACAAGGTTTTGATGATGCTGAGCTTGAATCCTGAAGCCGGCTGGATGGTCTCAAATGCTGACGATATCGCCCTGCTAGACTCAAACCTTGGTGATCTGCAGTCTGTGGTGTCACAGGTGAATAAAGTCGTGAACTCCGTCGGTTCATCCATAAACGCTGGAAAGAGCAGTGTTTTCGAGCTGCATCCCTGACAAGGAGAACAGACTTCGGGACTTATGGTTGCCAACTTGAAGAAGTACGCAATTTCAAGTACTTCGGAGTGAGGGTACGGCCCGATGGACGGAGTAAGGACGACATTTTATACTTAATCGATGTTGCCCGAAGGGTTTTCTCAGTCAGAAACAGGTGTTCATGGACGTACCGCGACATCCCCATTGCCACGATGATCCGCGTGTATCGTTCATTCATCCAGGCAGTCCTTCTCTACGATTGTGAATGCTCAGCGGTGCGCGTTGAAAATGATTGAAAATTGGAGGCGTTTGATCACCGTTGTCTAAGAATCATCCCTCGAGTGAGATAAACTGACTTGGTTTCGAATGAGACAGTCCGCACTCGCTGTGGAAAATTCGCGAGCACATTTCAGGCCGTCCAAGATAGACGACCGGGGCGTCTTCTTCGTCGTTCGCCTCATGAGTTCAGTGTTGCTGTCCTCAATACGGCGGCGTTGCCCACCTGGAGACGTCGAAGAGGTGGCCAACCCAAAACCTGGATCTACACGGTTTGTCAAGATATGGAGTTAGTGCCTAGACCTTCGATATTCGGTTTCCGTCGTTGGAGGAAAAGATAATCCAAACTGTCCAGATCTTCTGCCGTGGATCAACAGGCGTAAGGTGATATAATCCGCGACACTATCGAGGCTGGCTAGATTACGCATGGTCGCAACTGTGCAAAGTACGAAATCATCTCGAATTGTACGAACCTCTTATCGTCAATGAAACACAGTGGGTGGGAAGAGAGGTATTCTTCCTCACTATGAACGTAATTATGCCCTGCCAACTGCCACCCCCATCAGATAGAGGTGATTATCAGTGATTAAAATGAATGAACCACCGAAAAAAGAGACACTCCTACTGGCGGAGGAAATTAACTTGCAATGCTTCGTAAAAAGTGCAAATATAAGGGTAAGTAGTTCTTGATTCAACCAACAGTTCGACCGTCGTAACCGACGCTGAAGCCTAAGGCGACACTAGTAACCCTAACAAGCCTTGTTAACTCTACTGAAAACACAAGACGGGCATACCAATAAAATAAGGGGAGGGAGGAGGACAAGCTGCGCTTGTACACGATGGAATAGGACACGACCTGAGAAGAGGCTGGCTTAGAATTCTAAAGCCAAACCCAAAACATATTTTAATCACACAAATA